TTGTGGTGTTCACCATAATCGAGAGTTGTCAACGTGGAACCCAATTGGCACTCCTCAATCCGCCATTTTCAATTAACTGCTCAAATCCAGGTCCTTGAGGTTGGCAGAGTGTTGCGGTCGATAATACCTTCCGGTTAGCGCTTCAGGGATGTGAAACTTGAAGGCAGAGATGGATATCTTGAGCTTGTGACGAAGCTGTGGAGCTCAGCGTAGGATTTTTCGTTTGGAATTTCTTCTGGCTAGGCTCATGATCGTCTTGGTTGTCTTATTTACAGTCGAAGTCAACTTAAACAGTTATGAAGTAAAGTGAGCTTGTGTCATTTCAGCTTACCGATTTTTCTATTTTTTGAGTTTTTGTTGTATGCTCTCGACATTGAATCATACTTCTCCGTGTTTGAGTGTCGTCACCAAGGGTGCTCTTGGGGCGTCGCGAAACGCTCTTGCTGCCTCCTTACCCCGACATTTCGCCGGTAAGGCTTCTCCTAGTGGTGGTGAATGGCAGACTATGGATGGTTGTACTGCTGTGTGCCATGTGTCTTATGCTATGATGGAAACCGCCTACATTTACCCTATTACCCCCTCGTCCCCTGCTGCTGAGCTTGCTGAGCAGTGGTCAGCGCTCGGTGTGAAGAATGTGTTCGGTGATATCCCCAAGATAACTCAGATGCAGTCTGAAGCCGGTGCTGCCGGTGCCCTCCACGGTGCCTTGGCGGCCGGTTCTTTGGCCACTACCTATACGGCCAGTCAAGGTCTCCTCCTTATGGTGCCTAATATGTACAAGATAGCTGGTGAACTCCTCCCCTGTGTTATGCATGTGGCCGCACGTGCTGTTTCTGGCCAGGCCTTATCCATTTTTGGTGATCATCAGGATGTCATGGCTGTCCGTCAGACCGGTTTCGCCATGATTGACGCCGATACTGTCCAGGAGTGCCATGATATGGCTCTGATATCTCACTTGGCTACTCTCAGAGCCAGAGTTCCTTTCGTCAGTTTCTTTGATGGTTTCCGTCTCTCCCATTGCATTCAGAAGGTCGATACTTTACCTTACAATCAGATGCGAAGGATGATCGATATGAAGGCACTAAATGCTCATCGTGCAAGAGCCCTCAATCCTACTCGCCCTTATGTCCGCGGTACCAACGAGAATCCCGATGTTTATTTCCAACAGTTCGAGGCTTCCAACGCTTTCTACGATAAGACTCCTAAAATTGTGAAGGAGGAGATGGACCGTGTTGGCGCTGTTACTGGTCGTCACTATGATCTCTTCCAATGGTCCGGCCCGAAGGACGCTGAGGCAGCAATTGTTATTTTGGGTTCTGGCGCTAGTGTTGTTGAGGAGTCTCTACCTTACGTCAACGCGCAAGGCAAGAAGGTTGGTGTGCTCAAGCCCCGTCTTTACCGTCCCTGGTCCGCTGAAGACTTCCTCAAGACCTTGCCCAAGTCTGTTAAGCGCATTGCTGTCCTTGATAGGACTAAGGAACCTGGTGCTCTCGGAGAGCCTCTCTATTTGGATGTTGCCAGTACTATTCAAGAGTCTGGCCGTTCGAACATCAAAGTGATCGGTGGCCGTTGGGGTCTCGGACAAAAGGAGTTCACACCCAAATGTGTTGCTGCTGTGGCAGACAATCTTTATGCTCAATACCCCAAGGATCACTTCTCCGTGGGGATCGAGGATGATGTGACTCACAGGTCTCTGCCTCTCAATGATGAGATCAACGTGTCTCATCCCAAGACCGTTGAGTGCCTCATCTATGGCTTTGGTTCAGATGGTACTGTTGGTGCTAACAAGAACGCTACCAAGATCATCGGCGATAATACTGACCTCTTTGTCCAAGCATACTTTGCTTATAGCTCACAGAAGTCTGGTGGCTTGACAGTTTCTCATTTGAGATTTGGTCCCGAGCCTCTCAAGTCATACTATTCCGTCAGCAAGGCCGACTACGTCGGATGTCACAATACGACTTACATAGACATGTATCGTATGACTGATCATCTTAAGGACAATGGTACCTTCTGCTTGAACTCGCCCTTCACTACGGTTGAGGAGTGGAACGAACATGTACCCGCTGGTGTTCGTAAGGCACTCGCTGAAAAGAATGCCAAGGTTTTCAACGTCGATGCGTTCAAAGTTTCTGAGAAGTGTGGTATGGGCCGCATGATTAATGTTGTTATGCAGGCTGTCTTCTTCAAGCTCGCTAATGTGATGGACTTCAAGGAGTGCATTGCTTTGTACAAGAATACCATCAGGAAGAGTTATGGTCATCGTGGAGAAGCTGTTGTCCAGAAGAACTACGAGATGATAGATGAGGCTCTTGATGCGATCACTGAGATCAAGGTTCCTGCTGACTGGAAGAATCTTTCGGATAGTATGCTCCGATTTGAGCAAAACTACCATGACGCTCTTGGTAGCTTGGCTAAGGAGAAGAGTGCTATCAATAAACCAAGTTTCACTGAGAATATCCAGGCTCCAGTTGCTCTCCAACGCGGTGATGATATTCCCGTTAGTGCTTTTGCCAACGACGAACTCGTCGGTGGTAAGGTTCCTCTTGGAACCGCCAAGGTCGAGAAGCGTGGCGTTGCCTTGATGATCCCCATCGTTGATATGGACAAGTGCACTCAATGCAATATTTGCTCTATGTCGTGTCCTCACGCTTGCATCAGACCCTTCTTGTTGTCCCAAGCTGAGGATGATGCCAAGCCGAGTACCTTTGATAGTCGTAAAGCCAAGGGTGGTGCCGAGGTTGCCGGTCTTCACTACAGGATCCAGGTCTCGCCCTTGGATTGCACTGGTTGTGAGACCTGTGTTAACGCATGCCCCTATGATGCTCTAAGAATGGAGCACTTGGCTGATTTCGAGGATATCGAAAAGCCAAACTGGGAGTATGCTGTGAGTCTCCCTGATCGATCTTCAAGGTTTGATAAAACCACCCTCAAGGGCAGTCAGTTCTACCAACCTTTGCTCGAGTTCCATGGTGCTTGTGCTGGCTGTGGTGAACTCCCTATGTTCGCCTTCTCACTCAAATGTTCGGTGACCGCATGATGATTGCTAATGCTACGGGTTGCTCCAGTATTTGGGGTGCTCCTTACGGTTCTACTCCTTTCGCTGCGAGGCATGATGGGACTGGTCCCGCCTGGGCCAACAGTCTTTTCGAAGACGCTGCAGAATATGGTATGGGTATGGCTGTGACCACCTCTGTCCGTCGTAAGGCGCTCAAGGCTCGTGTACAGGAACTTCTTCTCGAAGGAAAGGATAGTCCGCTCTCGCCTGAGTTGTACACCCAGTTGAATGAGTGGGTTGAGAACTTCAGGAATCCTTCTGTGTGCGCCGCTCTTTCCAAGTCTCTCCCGCCTCTTCTCAAGGCCGAAGCCAGTAAGGATCCTGCTATTCAGGAGATTCTTGATGTGTCCGATTTGATTCCTAAGATCTCTAACTGGATCATCGGTGGTGATGGTTGGGGTTATGATATCGGTTATGGTGGACTCGATCACGTCATTGCTTCCGGCCAGGACTTGAACGTCTTGGTTTTGGATACTGAGTGCTACGCTAACACTGGTGGTCAGAAGTCCAAGGCTACTCCCATCGGTGCTGTTGCCAAGTTCGCGACCAAGGGTCACGAAGTCGAGAAGAAGAATTTGGCTGAAATGGCTATGGATTATGGCACTGTGTACGTTGCCAGTGTTTCAATGGGTGCCAATTACGATCAGACCTTGAAGGCTTTCTCCGAGGCCGAGGATTATGATGGTTGCTCTGTTATCGTGGCTTACTCTCCCTGCATTGAGCATAAGAACCTTGATGCTATGACCCACACTATGCAGCATCAGGCGACCGTTGCTGCTTCCGGCTACTTCCCGATCTATCGTTATAACCCGATGTTGAAGAGGATGGGCAAGAACCCCTTCGTTCTTGATACCAAGAAGCTCACCATGGGTGTTGATGCTGTCCTCGACAACGAGATGCGTTTCGGTGCCTTGAAGAAGCGTGATGCCGATTTGTACAAGAAATACAGGTCTGAGCTTGATGCTTGGGTCCGTGAACGTTACAGCAAGTACCAGAGATGGGCTGCTTTGGGTCAGGAAGATATCTCTAATGGTGTTCCGCTAACTCTTCTGTACGGCACCGAGACCGGTACTACCGAGGCCTTGGCTTATCGTGTTGCTGAACTGGCCCGTCAGCGTGGTTACGCTGTGAAGGTCATGGAGTGCGATGAGATGGACGTGAGTGAGCTCCCTGAAAACAAGAACCTTATGGTTCTTTGCGCTACTACTGGTGAGGGTACCACTCCTAGGACTGCCCTTCACTTCACTGCGCAGTTGCAGCTTGCTGCTAAGGACAACTCCAATGCTCATCTGTTGGACGGTGTCCAATACGGTGTCTTTGCTTTGGGTGACTCCAGTTATCATCACTTCTGCACTGCTGCCAAGAGAATTGACGATATCTTCGCTCAGATGGGCGGTCAAAGGACAGTTGCCATTGGTCTCGGTAACGATCAGGATGAGGACAAGTATGAGACTGCCTTTGAGGATTGGATGCCGAGTTATTGGAAGTCTGTGAATGCTCCTGAGCCTGTTGATGACGGGTCCGTTCCCGACTCTCAGTTCGAGGTTCGTGAGCTTGACTCTGATGAAGTCGTGGTTGCTCCTTATGAGAGGATCATGCCTCCTCAAACTATTCAGCTTGGTTTGAAGAAGAACGATCGTCTTACTCCGGGAGTAATACTCCCAGCGACTACGAGAGGGATATTCGTCATTTGCGCTTCGAATTGGAGGATGGTCAGGATCTTCCCTATCTTCTTGGTGATGTCCTCAACATCCACCCCATGAACGAAGCTGGCAGAGTTAGTGCTTTCCTTCAGTCTTATGGTCTCAACCCCTCGGAGATGGTTAAGATCACTCCTGTATCCGAGAACATCGATGCCCGCAAGCGCGCTGCTTCTCTCCGTCCCCGTACTATCTCCCAGCTCTTCGAGGAGTCTTTGGATATCTTCGGTCGTCCCAACAGGGCTTTCTACAAGACTCTGTCCAAGTTCGCTGAGGATCCCAAGGAAAAGGCTGAGCTGGCGTTGATCGGCAACCCCGATGATACCAAGGGTCGTGATATGTACACCAAGCTGGCTGGTGAGACTGTGACCTTCGCTGATATCCTCAATAAGTACACCAGTGCTCGTCCTTCTCTTGATCAGTTGATCACTCTCATCCCTTGCACTAAGCCTAGGCTCTATTCCATTGCTAGTTCCCCGAGGTTCGTTGGTCCTAAGGCCATCGAGCTTGCTGTTGTGATTGTTAACTGGACTACTGCCTCTGGTGTCCGAAGAACTGGTACTGCTACCGATTATATCCAGCGTATCGTGCCGGGTCAGAAGACTACCGCCACTATCACTTCTGGTAGCTTCAAGTTCCCCGAGAGCCCGATGACACCTATGATCATGGCTGGCCTTGGTACTGGTCTTGCTCCCTTCCGCGCCTTCTCTCAGGAGCGTGCTTGGATGAAGCGTCAGGGCATCCAGACTGGTCCCATGTGGCTCTTCTATGGGTGCCGTCATCAGAGTAAGGATTACATCTTCGGTAACGAGCTCGATGGTTTCGTTAAGGAGGGTGCCATCACTGAGCTTCATCCCGCATTCTCTCGTGACCAGAAGGAGAAGGTCTATGTGCAGAACAAGATCGATGATAACAGCTCTCGTGTCTATGAGGATCTCATTAAGAAGGGTGGTTACTTCTATCTTTGCGGACAAGCTGGTCAGGTTGAGAACGACATCAGGAGTGCCGTCTATCGCGCCATTGCAAAGGGTGAGAACGTCTCGATTGAGAAGGCTAAGGAGATATTCGAAGACCTTGCTGAAAACGATCGTTATTGCCCTGAAGTGTATTAAGCTAGTCTAAATCGCTTTTTTCATACTGTTGTATGGTGCACTTCCGCCCTCTTTAGGGCTGCTGGATATCTACTACTCGTTATCGAATGTGATTGTATTTTCTCTATTATCAAGTCTATAGGATTTGTGTTCTAAAGTTGGCGGAAGATCAACTCCGCCAGGCGAACGCATCCAAGATATCCCCATTAAAACTTCTACTTCGGCAGCGCTCCAACTTAGATAGCGCGTCGATTCACTAACTTCAATTCCGACAATACAACTTGCGATCTTCGGCATCACAAAAACTCCTATTCCACAAGTAGGAACACTGATTCCATTTTATCACAATACCAAATTGGTATTACCAGTAGGTGACCTGTGAAGCTAACTTTAGATATCGTAAATGCTCCAAAAGGAGTGGTATTATTGATAGACATCGGCTCTTGACCTCCATCAAGTCAGAATCATACGAAATATTCACCTGTCGTTCCCAAGAGTATCCGAAGTTGATTCAGTCTTTAAACATTTGAAAAGACTCTCTTGTTGCCGATAATACACTACCCCTCCTACCGCTGAGCGATATCCCTTGGTATTCGAAGGCAGAGTTTCTGCTGCGGGAATATGCTCATACATCTCCAATCAACTCGTGAACAAATCTTCATAATGCAGCGAGTGAGGCAATCAAATATGTATTTCCATAGTCACCCTCGTAGGTTGCAGACTAAGCGTACGACCAACGAAGACTTTCGTAGTAAGTTAATCTTGGATTGCTCTAGCTATGTTCGCGGTGACTTTTCATTGTACCCCCATAATACACTCCCTAGAGCTAACAACACTCTATCAAAGAAGAATATAACGCCCAAGAAGAAGCGCGATCTGTGGTCGTATGCCCCTGCCAGGGTCTGAGCCGGGTTGGCGCCAATGGTAGATCTGAATTCTACCACTCCGCCAACTACGCTATATAAACACCAAGTCTTCGAGCCCAGGCCAAGTGATCCGGAGTGCTACCGAGGTCAATAAACCGAGTGGAGCACTACGATCACAGGCCGCTTCTGCACGGGCGGGATGGGTTGGGAAAAGAAACTCGAGGCACGGCCTCGCTAACTACATCAGCAGTCCAGTTCATCAGTAAACTGCTACTCCTTTGAGAGGTTTACTTAATGCATATCTTATATGGTGCGTACGAAACTGTGACGACACAACTGCAGTGCAGTTACTGCACGTCGCCCACCCCAGGCTCACGCCGACATACGTCAGGGTTGTGCTGGACTCCTATGTTCTCTCCTGTGCTGGCTCTTTCACTCTCCGTACCCAAACGGTACTCCCCATTGTAACCTAATTGAATCCCGTCAACCTTGAGTTCTCAAGGTCAAACTTGCTTGTAACACTGTCATCCTCGCCTGCTCACTTGTCAAACTTGCACGGGAAAAAGCGTACAGACAAGCTCACATGCCTTGAGAAAAAATAATGCCTTATGAAAATTCAAAACTGAGTTTTATCTGGCGCCGATGTACAACTCTGTGGAGGCATAAACTTGATCCATTGATTTGACTATGCGTTTGGATTGGAAGTGTTGCTCTCAGACCTAGAACAAGTATTTCCTAGTTATGACTGGTGGCCGCCTCCTTGGTGATATACTAGACGACGATGAGAATGAGGAAGAGTTTTTCCTTGTTCCCGTCCCTAGCAAATCACCACCGAAGAAGCCCGCCCTAGAACGCAAACCTGTGAACAGTGATGAACCAACGATTCCAGATGACAATAATGATGATGACGACAATGAGAGAAGAACGAGGAAAATACGATGTAGGTCTCAGGAAGAGCCTCTTGATCAGTTTGAAGGATCAGGCCAATTCAGTGCCCAGCGAACTCAGAAAAGAAAACGCTGGATTGACGGAGTGCTCATAAGTACGTCCACTGCTTGGCATTCCTCTTGACAGCGTTTAATGCAGTCAAGGAAGGAGCACGGACCTTAACGTTGGAATCAGCGGACGATGAAGGTTGCACTGTTGACACTGTGAGGTCTACCAGAATTATCCGGGAGAAAATGAATAGGGCCGAGGAGAATCTTGAGGAGCTTATGTTAGACAGGTGACACGGAAGGTGAGATGTGTCACACTTGTTATCGTTGACAGTTCTCGACATATTATTCGCATTGATGCGGATGCTTGGACAGACGAGTCTGAGTCTAGCAAGAGTGGAGCTCCTGTTGAAAAGGTTAGTTCGAAGGGTGATGATGATGATGGCCGTAAGTGCCGTAAGAGAAGTGGAACCCTCCTCCTGTTGTCCTTGTAGTGTCATGTCCATGTGTTACATGTCTAGCACTGTGGTCCCACTCCTGAGCTGTGGAGGCGTTGGGTTATCAAGTTCACGATTCTATACGTCCATTAATAACGGACCATTATGACCGTCACGGGTCCTCGGACATCGATATCTACGGTCTATGGACACTCGGACATGGATATCTACGGTCTATGGACACTCGGACATGGATATCTACGGTCTATGGACACTCGGACATGGATATCTACGGTCTATGGACACTCGGACATGGATATCTACGGTCTATGGACACTCGGACATGGATATCTACGGTCTATGGACACTCGGACATGGATATCTACGGTCTATGGATACTCGGACATGGATATCTACGGTCTATGGACACTCGGACATGGATATCTACGGTCTATGGACACTCGGACATGGATATCTACGGTCTATGGATACTCGGACATGGATATCTACGGTCTATGGGCACTCGGACATGGATATCTACGGTCTACGGACACTAGGACATGGATATCTACGGTCTATGGACACTCGGACATGGATATCTACGGTCTATGGATACTCGGACATGGATATCTACGGTCTATGGACACTCGGACATGGATATCTACGGTCTATGGACACTCGGACATGGATATCTACGGTCTATGGATACTCGGACATGGATATCTACGGTCTATGGACACTCGGACATGGATATCTACGGTCTATGGACACTCGGACATGGATATCTACGGTCTATGGACACTCGGACATGGATATCTACGGTCTATGGACACTCGGACATGGATATCTACGGTCTATGGACACTCGGACATGGATATCTACGGTCTATGGACACTCGGACATGGATATCTACGGTCTATGGACACTCGGACATGGATATCTACGGTCTATGGACACTCGGACATGGATATCTACGGTCTATGGATACTCGGACATGGATATCTACGGTCTATGGACACTCGGACATGGATATCTACGGTCTATGGACACTCGGACATGGATATCTACGGTCTATGGACAGTCGGACATGGATATCTACGGTCTATGGACACTCGGATACATGATGGTTATCCAACACCCGGGAGAGGTGTCTATATCCAGCGTCATCCATATTAAATTCAGCTTCCGATGTAGTCTAGCTGGTTAGGATTCGTGGCTCTCACCCACGCGACCGGGGTTCGAGTCCCCGCATCGGAAATTTTCGGAATCTACTTATACTTTTTTGTCAGTTGCTGTAACCAATCCTGTTGTTACCCTCTTATTCATATCCATACCGAATCAGCGCATCGACTTGATTGCCTATGCAGTCTTCTTCCTTCATGTCCCAGAAGTACCTTCCAAAATTCCCAATCGTCAGTCGTTACAAACGCTCAGGTCCTTCCCTATCGAAATTTCGGCTGTAACTCGAAGCTTGATCTGACTAAGTCAGTGGAGTCCTCCGACTGTGTGAAATTCCGATGGTACATAAGCATCGAATAAGACGCATTTTTTACTTGGAGCAAACGAACTCGCCAAATCCTTCTATCATCGACAACCTAACTTATTCTTTTTCGCTCGTATACTTTCCGTCTCCGAAAAGCGCATTCTCATTTTCGCGCAGATTAAACTCAAGCCGCCTCCTCAGAGATCTGTTCATTCCTAAGATGTTTGGGATGATCAGTAAAATCCCTGTTCGCCACAGCGTGCGCACTTTTGATCATATGCTCCTCCACCTCCAACGGCTAATTTTCGACATTTTCTCTAACGTTCGGACACGTTGTGGTTTCACGTGGAATCAGCGAAATTTGATCTCACATGCAAACCTCTTGAGGCTCAGGAGAGGGCTGATGAACACCTCGTGAATAACTGGCGAGATATTTTTCCTAGTTGGTTGACAAGACTGACTCGAGGCCTCCAGTCCAGGGAGTAGGGCACGTTCATGATGCTACTCGGGGGCAGTGTCGTCTTGAGATGGACGGGGCTTCGAGTGAGGTCTCGGTCCCCTCCACACCGGTTAGTTCGACTCATCCCCATGATATGTGAGTATTTAGTCGTAAGCAAGGACCAATGAAGCCAAGGTTGGGGAGTCTTTCAGCCTACAGCTCAGTGTGCTAATGAAGCTACTGAAAATATGACAAATCGACGGTGATCGCATGCCTGTAAAAGCAAACACTATCACATTTCACTCGGGCCTACAGTAATCCATCGACGTGTTCACTACACCCTTCTTGAGCGCAGATTGAAACGGTCCTTAATTACGAGCAATACATGATACAACGATCACGTTCTTCTGCTCTAAGGCTGCGGCCATCGACTTCGTCTCTTGATTCCTTCACTCATCTTGGCCTTCAGTGAGTGTTTAGAACGGCTAGATTCTGCCCCAGTGCTGTTGCTGATTTTTCTTTCTTTTTTGGCCCCTTCTTGAGCGCAAGGATCAAAAAATGCTCGTAGCCCTCGTTGAACCGGGAACTTTCTTGCACTTTACGTGCATTTAGGTCAAATAATTCCTCCCCCTCCGTGATCGATTTAGCTGCCCTATTGCCCCTACTGGGAGGAGAGTAACTGAATAGAAATGGAGACCGACCCGAAGATCCTCGAAGCCCGAGCCCAACTCCGCGCCAAGCTCGGTGATGGTGCTCAGCGAGCTGGAGGCAGAGGTAGTTGCCCTAGGGAAATTCACTTGCCGTTTTCACTCGAGTTCATTACTAATATTTGCGCTATAGTGACTCTCAGGTTCAGCCCGTCTGAATAGAAAGGCAGTCCATCGCGGCTCGAGTGCTGCTAGTGATGATAAGAAGCTCTTCGGTATGCTTAAGCGACTTGGATGTCACGAGATTCCTGGTAGGTGGTCATCAGGAACTGGGCAGGGCTTGTATCTTATGTGCTCAGGTATAGATGAGGTCAACATGTTCAAGGCTGATTCCAATATCATTCACTTTGAGAGGCCGAAATGTAGGCGAGGTGTGGTATGGTTTTCTCTAATAATAATTTCTCCTTCACCTCAGTCCAAGCAGCCATTGGCGCGAACACCTTCGTCGTTTCTGGTGGTAACGCTGCTGAGAAGACTGTTGATGAGCTCATGCCTGAGATCATCCCTCAGCTCGGACCTGAGAATGTTGCTATGCTCAAGGAGATCGCCAACCAGATGAGGCTCGCCCAAGAGGCCCAGCAGAAGGCTAAGGTGGAGGAGGCTGCTGCTGAGGTCCCTGAGGTGGAAGGCGACTTCGAGGAGGCTTCCAAGGAGGAGGAGAAGCATTAAGTTGATGATCTATTGTCGTCCTCTCGGTTTCCTCAGTGCCAATATCGTACTTGAGTTTCATCACAATTTAGTGGTAGTAGATATTATGCTGCATAGTTATGGTATTCACTAGGAGCTTATACTCAGCACTGGGGTAATCTGGACCTTTGCAATCTCTATGCTTGGCGTTATCAACAACAGCAGGGACTCTCCTAACTCGATTAGGTCACCAAAATGATGTTTTGAATACACCGTAGTATAACTACGGTGTCTTCTAAATTGCCCTGTAGGTTTTCTGTCAAGGAATGTCCCTCACCGGTTTTGCCAGGTTGTTAATATAGATGTAATACAGATTTATAATAACTTTTTGTGTGTCTACTTTGAAAATAGATTTGCTGACCTCATCATTGGAAGGGTCTGTAGGGTTGCCTCTGTGGTTCTGAATGCTGTCATGATCATTACCAATGTATGGGGGAGTATGATGTCCTATCATCAACTCAGATCTACTACTACCGTAAAAAGGGCAACTGAATATTACGGAGATCAGTAGTCTATACGGCTAGTGGTGTTCATACCCTTCGTAGAGTAATGGGTCCTCGCAGGCTCCCTGGACACATCTCGAGTCGTCCTGGGTTCGGCTGTATGGGGTAAGGTAATCATCTCATACAAGGATTATCATCGATTACGTGATATAAATTCCGAGAGGAGTGGTATCAGTCTTGCCCGTTTTTCTAGCCCTAAATAGCCGCATACTCTCCTCCTGGGGTAGCCTCGAGGTCTACACTACTATGCCTTGACTGCATGCTGTCAGTATGCTGGTAGTAGTCCATATTCCTCGGCGAGTGGTATGTATTAATCCCCTTGAGTTCGCATTGCCCGATTTCATCCAGTGGACGGGTATGAAGGTGTACCCTTCACCACACCGTTCAAGGAGGCAGGAAGGCTTGGTTTCTGTTGTGGTGGTTTTCAAACTTGTAGTTGTTGGTTTCAGAGCAGAGACCCATTCAGAAATTGAGAGACAACGTTCCTAGGGTGGAAAATGTTCCTAATGTGATGATATCGACATGGGAAACTGATTTGTTGAGGAATAATGCCTTCCTAGCCATACGTGGATGATTCCCCTTCCCGGGAACATTATAGGTGCCTGGATGCTTCCCTGGTTTCACGACCTGTTCATGTGCAGTGTTAATCAATATTCATACCACACCTTGGCCACATTTCCCTGTCAGTACTGGCAGCATGGCGTCTGGGAGCTACTACTCTTTGGGAACTTCCGTACCGGACTTGTCCGTATTTCGATCAACGTATCACTTCATGACGGAGCCGGTAAGCTCCTTGAGCTCGGGTGTCATCTTATCTCTACTATTTCAGGGAGTTCCTCAACGAAGCGACTACCCACCAGGCTACAGCGGTCATCAGCCCATGACTAGGTCCCTATTCGGGTACAGTTCACCAGCTGGCAGTAGGAGTAGGACTGTTGTTCGAGGCCACCAGGTGGGTCGAATAGTCCATGGTTGGGGTTGTGATGATGTGGAGGTGAGGTATTGGAAGCAGCACCGACATTGCCTGCAGTTGGTTGGATGAGCCAACCTCCTCTGAAGAGGGCCCAGAGTGAGTCGGAGAGTGCCACAGCTGAGCTCGGGAATTTGGTCAAATATATGGGAAAAATTCGGGAATAAATTTGCAGAAATCAAACATAATTTTGTCGAAATTGTTATCAAGAGCATGGTGCCCTACACATACGCAAAGGTCATTCACCGTGTTGGGAGTAATAGCACGCTGAAAATCAACAGTATTTACAGATTGGGCAATTTTCGGGAAATTGTGGGTGAAATTTATCTCGTAATTATTATCAGTTCCGAGACCGGTGCCTGTAGGAAGCAGTATGTCGAAGCCACAAGAGGACAGGAAGCAGCGGGAATCTCAGAAGAGGTTTGCATCGCTCCGCTGTACTGATTTGCAATTTTCATTGAGGTATTTTCATCCACCAACACTATCATTTAATGAGCACATGTATTACTGCCCACCAGCGTATAGGACCCCTCGGCCTTTGGAAGGGGATGATGATGGTATGTAAGGTTGATGTGGGGGGTTGTGATGAGAATACGCACATGGTCAACTACATGTGTTGATGACAATATGAAAATTCTGGGATGAAATTTGTTAGTTTTCACACATGTTAACTTTTTAGT